CTGAATAAAACGTCTACAGGTCTGTAGATTGAATATGTAGTCTACCATGTAAAATCTATCAAAAGTGGTTTTGTGTATTATTCATTAAGTTTTTTCAAAACTTTTTTTTATGAAAGTGTGTGTTAGTTAATCATAAGTGTCTTGAATGATTTTCAGAAGATAATCTGTTATAATTAGAAAGTTATCAAATTTTTTGTTTATCTATGTTGTTAGCTTAAAATTTGTAGACGTACTTGTAAGTCTATGATATAATTTTTGGTGTAACTATATTGTTTGCTAATAATTGTAGATGTACTTGTAAATCTATTTTATAATTTTATCAAACATGAAATTTTTGTTTGCTAATTATGTAAACCATATTTTTTTTTTTGTAGGAGATGGCTCAATTACTCATTGTATACAGAGAATGGGTGGTGAAAAACTCTAGATGTGTTAGTGTTATGTGTCGAACTTATGAGTTGTGTATTAGTGTTTCATTACTTTGAGTAAAACTCTAGATGTGTTAGTGTTATGTGTCGAACTTATGAGTTGTGTATTAGTGTTTCATTACTTGTCTTCTATTGGATTTGTAGGTCTTTAGTCTGTGTTGAACTTGTGATAGACTTATGTTATATTTTTCTTTGTAAGTAATAAGTCTACACGAAAGAAGAATAATAAGTAACATCACTTTTTTTATGGCTCCAATAGTAGTCTTTTATTTTAGGTTTCTTAAAAAAAACTGATTACACAAGTCTATACAAGTAAGTCTACACGAAAGAATACTAATAAGTAACATCACTTTTTTATGGCTACAATAGTAGTCTCTTATTTTAGAGTTCTTAAAAAAAATGATTACACAAGTCTACACAAGTAACTCTGTAATTGCACTTCCAATGCTCCACTCAAAACATTGAGCTCCCATGCATTGTCCACTTAAAAGCTTCGCTATTTGTAGCTTCCTCAAAGGACAATTATCAGCCTGCACTTTTCAAAGTTAACATATCAAAAAGATAGAAACTTAACAGAAGAAAAACAAAAGTACAACATGATTAAAGGTAAAACATATTATAAAACCAGCTACAAAGAAACCCAACCCTTCACTCTTTTACATTTATCTTATGTAGANATCTTATGTAGATTTTGAACCAACGTACTTGGAAATGAACATATTAAGTCTCCATTCTATAGTCATTTAAATGTTCCAAAACAAAAAGAAGAAACCAACTAAGAGTTACCTGATGCAATGGTTTCTAAGTTTAGGGATCAGAAAAAAGTTGTGGTCTCTGTAGAAACTGTTGCTCTGTTTATCACCACCTCAAACTCGGGAACCTCCTACACTCTGTTAAACAAAGGTTTTCTGAATCTCCTGTTGAATTGGAACCAAAAGAAAGAGATACAACCCATGGAAAATGGTATCAGTTTTCAGCATCAAAATCCAAAACAAAACAAAACAAAAACGTACTTTGAAACCTAATTTAAGATCTTTTCAAATCAAACAGCTACATATACTCACAAATTCAGAATACAGAGCTCTTAGGAGATGATAACATACATCTCTTTCGGTTTTTGGGGTTTTATTTTGTTTAGCAACTCAGGCATCACCTCATCAAAAAGATTCTAGTACAAAGAATATTAAAAGTGAGAGAAGCTTAATTAACATGATTATATGCATACCCTAGCACGTAAATGTCGGCATCTGCGGGAGATTGGAGCCAATCTTTTAAGTCTAATCCATCATGTGGCGACTTCCCTCCCACGTTCCATGTCCCGACGAACATTCTAATCATTAACAATTAAAAAAATAACAAAAGTTAATAATCATAGCTAATTATAAACATAAAAGTATATATAGAGAGATCAATCATGAAAATTATGTATTATTTGAGATCAAGTTTGTCATCAACACGCGGCACATGTTGTTCACCGCTTGATTGTTTTAAATCCCCATTAGCTTGGCCCAGCCAACCTATTTCAACCATAAAACACAGACAAAATCAATTAATTACGTGAATAATTAGTCTTTAAAATATTATAATCAAACAAAGATAGGTATGTATAAAACAGAAACGGGTGAATAGAGAATAGCAAGTACACCTAAAATTGAAGACTTTTTTAAACTTAACATAAAACCTACTCTCTCACACCACACGTTACAACAACTAATCTCATTTTTTACTTACTTTATAACACGATTTGAAGGAAAATCTCGATTACCTTTCAACGTTTATTTGCCGTTGTTTTTAATACAGATGTCTAATCGACTAATCCTATGGCTAGAAATGAACACAAAGTCTTCGTACGGAGACTTCTAATTCAAGTACGGTTTAAAGGACAATAGATACACGCCTTTTTCGATTCCCCAAAACTATATAATAAAATAAAAAGAAACGTCATGAGTTGTTTATTATGAGTAGTAATTATTTTTACCGGGAAACTTTTCCGGCACGATCATGCAGTAATCACCGTCCGAGAAACTTTTTTTCCTCGGCTGAGTTGGCTCCATCTTCCCTGAAATAAAATAGTAAGAAAAACATCCATGAGAACACAAACGGCTTGATGTGCAGAAACAGAGACCTCAAACGGCACAGTTTGCAAAGGCAAAGATCCGAAACGGCACGAGTCAATTTACCTTTGAGTGGGTAATCGGAGTGAAACTCGTAAGCACCGCTACGTAAGTTTAGCCACTTCCTAACGACGGTTCTCGGCCATGAAGACTGCAAAACGTGACCGTTTTAACAAAATAGATACACAATAAGAGTGATTAAAGGAGACGAAAGGTCGTTCAAGAACGTGTCCTTGCTGCCGTCGATTTCGCAGAGCTTCTCGATCAAAACCCTAGACACAGAAACAGATTGTTAGGTGACTCGGGTCTGCAGAGAAGAAGAGAGATCGAGAATTGAAAAATTACCTGAGATCTGAAGAACATCGTAGGAGAAGAAGGATGAGAGAGAGAGAGAGAGAGAGAGAGAGGCAGCTTGTTTTTTATGTCGGCTCTTTTTTAATAAGAAGGAGTATTTATATGTCAAATTATTTTTCTGGTTAGGTTAAAACTCTTTGGTTTAATTTTGGTTTGGTTAAAATTATTTTGGTCAAACTTTAGGTTAGAGAAGTCTACTATAATATTTTTCTTTATTGTTTAAATAGTTTATAATATATAATCAAATTTTTTTTTCATTATATATTTAATAGACTTAGTATATATTTTTTTGATAAAATTGTAATTCACATTTTAATTCATAAATAAATAAATTTAATTTTAAAATAATTTTTTTTTTTTGTAATCACCAATTATAGTAGACTAAAAGAGACGTCTACTATCGAAATAGACTTTACCGTAAGTATTGGCGCCAATAGGAAAAAATAGGCTCCAAAATTCATTTTCGTTTCCCGCTTAGTTAATTTTAATTTTAAAATATTTATTTTGATAAACACCAATTAATGTAGACTGAAATATACGTCTACATATNACAACTCCGTTTTTTTTTTTTTGCTTTATTGTTTGAGCAAACCCTAAATGTAAGTAGACTTTATTGTAAGTCTACTATAACCCTAAACCACAAATCTGATACCCTAAATATTTATTTGATAATCAAAAATGTATTAATTATTATATTAAATATCTAAATATAGAAAAAATAAACTTCTCAACATTAGTGTGTCAAAAAACAAAAAAAAATTAAAATCAAATATCTAACCCTAATATATGAATCTAACCCTAAAAGACAAAGCATGTTATACCATTTTGTTGGGAAACCATAACACATTATCTTTCACATGGTTACCAATTCAATATAAATTCAATTAAACTTTTCACTTATATGAAATTTTAATTTATATATTTCATACTAATCTTTATATTGATGATTATTTAAAAAACTTCCCAAAAATTATTTTTATACATTTTTAAAATTAAATTATAAGATCAAATGACGATGTAGACTGTAGAATACGTCTCCAAAGTAGACTTCTAAGAAGGTCTACAAATGTGTAGACTTCTCTCTATTATGTGTAGACTTACAAAGGACAGAACCGTAAAATAACTGTCTGTTTTTTTGTTTGGTCACAAGGGTTATGTAGTAACTTCATAACCCCTTTAGGTTGGTTTTGCATTTGACTCAATAAGGGGTACACCTTTAGGGTTGAAATGAAATTTTAGGTTGGTTTTGGCAAATCCCCCATATTTATTTATTCCTTATTTTAATTAAGTCAAGTCAAATTAGTTTTATTTATCGCTTAAATATACAAGTATTTTCATAATATTTATCAAATTATATGTTGATTTCTAAAAAATATTAGAAAATAAAGTGTAACTGATAAATTTTTGATGTTCATGAACATATATATTTTTATTAATTTGAAAATATACTATATGTTATTTAAAAATATATATTAATGGGCTATATTACTATTTTGTGAACTTTCCTTTTTAATAAAATCATATTATATACATATATTTTCGTTTTTAAATTTGTTTCAAAATTTTAGAAATATTTCCTTTTATTATATATGCTATTTGGAAAAAGTAAAAAAGAAACTAAATAAAAGAATTAATAATAAACTTAAAATCTAACAATTCATTAAGGGTATCTATGTAATCAACCATTGCGAGAGTTAACGTGAGCGCGACACGTAAGAAACTGACTTCTCAAATAATATTATCGAGATATAATTACAATCTAACATTATATTGCTGGTTTTATATTTACTATAAAAATACTTTTATTTTTTTAAACATTTCAATAATTTTTGATAATATTTAGTTAGGGGTTTTATATTTACTATAAAAATACTTTTATTTTAAAAAAATTTCAATATATTTTGATAATATTTAGTTAAATTATATAAAAAACCATGTAACAATTCCTATGAAACATAAAAATATACACCAAATAAGATGATAAAACAATATAAAAGTCAAATTTCTAAAATTTAAATAATGTACATATGCTAAAATCAAATATATATATTTTATTTTATAAATAAAAATGAAAAAAATAACAAAAAATCTAAATAAGAAAACTTTCGTAAATTAATATCTCTATAAATTAATAAAATTTCAAAGTCCCAACATTATTAATTTATAGAGGTTTTACTGTATAAGTTAACCCCCCCCCTCCCCTCCAAATCAGAACATACGAGAAACCAGAATTCTTCTTTTTTTTTTTTGTTTTTTTTTTTGTATTTTCGACCTCTGATGAGTGATGAAACAGTTAGGTCTTCTTTGTTNTATAAATTAATAAAATTTCAAAGTCCCAACATTATTAATTTATAGAGGTTTTACTGTATAAGTTAACCCCCCCCCTCCCCTCCAAATCAGAACATACGAGAAACCAGAATTCTTCTTTTTTTTTTTTGTTTTTTTTTTTGTATTTTCGACCTCTGATGAGTGATGAAACAGTTAGGTCTTCTTTGTTTATCTTGTGTTCCAAAACCAGTGATATGTTTTATCACTTAGATTTGGTTTATTAAAAACTATATTCTGTGCACGTTTCTGGTATAAAACTCATGGAATAATGCTAAGATAGTATAAAGGAAACCCAAACTTGTAATTCTTATTCGATATGATTTGTGACTTCATCCATCATCTTCTATCAATGCCCTGCCAAAAAACAAATATAAAACAAGAAAATATATATATTTCTATGTTCACCGTGAAAAATGTTGGACTAGAAATATATACAATATCTGACCAGAAAAGTTGATAGGGGAAAAAAGGAAATAATAACAAAAAGAAGATCAAGACAAGAGAGGCTTCTTAGGGTCATACTCACTCTCAAAACTATCAATCTGTGATAAACCTTCTTTGCCTTTAGCCCACAACACAAGGTACAGTCCTATAAACATCAACGCCATTCCTCCCACACTGCATTTTATTTTGTTAATCATTATCAAACCAAATTAAACATGAATTATTATCAATACTAAGAGGTTGTATCAAAGTTACCTTCCAATTCTAACGGGTTCTCCTAATGTAACAACGGAGAAACCAACCGAAATAACGGTTGCGATAGGACTAAACATTGATACCATAACCGGTCCACGTTTCTTCATCGCCCATCCATTGAAACTAACACATGCTCCACTCACCATCCCTCCCTGAAAATTCCAAAAATAAACTTTATATTATACAAAAACCAGTCAACTCCTAATGCAAACGAAACAACAACAAAATTATCTGAACTTACCAGAAGAGAAAAACCGACAAGGTTACTGATGCTAACTAATGATGTTGTGACTACTTTAGTGTTCGGGTTTTGTAATAACTGTACCATTGTTGTTATTACTACTCCTATCAATGCCGTTATTGCACTTAACGATATTGGTGCAGGAAACTCTGCCAATGTCGAAGCCTGCAATAACCGAACAATTAGAAACTAAACCAAACCGGTTATAATGTACCCGTTGTTAACTTTACCTGAAGAACGACGTTGGAGGATAAGACAAAGACAGCTCCGAGAAGGTACATGCATCCCACGACTCTATCGCGATCAACCACGAATATTGAAGCATTATCTTTTTCATCGTTTATGATCGAAGCGCTGTGCATTAAGCTCATTGTTAACGCGCCGAATACGCACAACAATGTCCCTAAGATCTTCAGTTTGCTGTACAGACATTTCATATTCATCTTCTCTAACCTATCGAAAAAGTTATTAAAAAAATACTGAGAATCTTAGAACTGCTTTGACTCTGTGTTGAAAATGGGGTTCAGCGTTTTCACCTAACCATCCAAGCAATGAAAAAAATAAGACCAGGAGCGAGGTTAGGCATCGCTGTGGCTAATGCTGGTGATGTCAACCTTATTCCTTCAAGAAACAGAGTTTGGAACAGAGTAACCCTGTTTATTTTTTTTATTATATTGAAAAGATGTTATGCAAATTTCAACAAAGTTGTAGACTTTTTAAACAAGTAATAAAATAAAACTAATGGAGGATGATACTTACCCTAAAAAGGAGATCAAAACTAGTTTACCAATAAACCTCGAGCTGAGTTCATCTGGCCACTGCTTCCTTTACAACAACAAGACCATAACAAAGGCAGAACCATTTACTGTCTGAAGAGAAAACCATATATGTCCAAAAGTCAAAAGACAGACCTTTCGAAGAGAATGGCAAAAGGGGAGAGGATAAAGAAAGTGGCAAAGGTAGAGAAGATGACAATGGTCAAAGGGCCAAGACCGAGTGACATCAAATAACTCATGAGCAAAGAGTTGCCTGCGTATACAAATTGCACCATTACTAAACCTCCTATGATCACCACATCTTCTATCGTCTCCTTCTTCATCTTAGAAATCGACTGATAGAATTCGACGTACAAAAACTGCATGACGGGAAAATCCTTCGTATTAGATTGCAATTAGATAAAGATAAGAACGAATTAATTACACACACTCCTTCACCTTCATTCAGAAATATATCTCTGAAACCAACATTTTCTTGTTATCTTTCTCTCTCCTTTACTCTCTCATTATATTCCTCAAAGCATTGCTTCTGTAACAAAACAGACCCTCCATTGTTATTCAACCTATATTTGCTACATTCCAAATAACTTTTATCTCTATTTTAAGCCCTTTTTTAATCACAACCATCAACCTTGTCATTGGCTCTGAGATTCTACCTTCTCTAGACTCTCCCTAATCCTTCAGGAAAGTTCCATCTTCCCCTGCGCTTTCCAAGCTTGACATACTCTCCACGGAAGCATGGCGAGTCTTAGCTGCAGCCCTAGTCGAGGAGTACAGCTTGTCAATAGTTCTGGCCGCCATTGCTGCTCTCGCCGTGGTTCCATGGGGAAGTCTAATCCATTCTTGTGCTAGCTTGGCCTAGACTCTAGAGTTGTTGTCGTGAGTGCTCTGATAGATATGTATACTAAATGCGGAATGCTGGAGCAGGCTTAGCTGATGTTTTGGACTATGCCTAGAAAGAATCTGATTGCATGGAATGCTATGATCTATGGCTACGCTCGTAATGGCGGTTCAACCGAGGCTATATCAAGCTCTTCCACCAAGAAAGACTATTGAAACCTGATGGAATCACATTCTTGAATCTCTTAGCTGTGTGCTCTCATTGTGAAGTTCCAATGGAGCTAACGCTTGGCTACTTTGAGATGATGATTAACGAGTATGGGATCAAGCCACGTGTTGTTCTCTTATAAGAGTCAGAGACGTGAGATTTGCTAGGTGAAAAGGGTGATTCAAGAGTTTGGTTTTGGGTTTGATGGTTATGTTAGGAGAAGTTGATGAAGATGAGTATGTATATATAGCGATTTCGAATCTCTATGCTTACCATGAGAGATGGAGAGAAGTTAGTCAAATTCGGAAGATTATGAGCGATAAAGGGGTGGAGAAAGAAGTTGGCTCTAGCTGGATTCAAGAGCAAAGTTTTGCAATACAACTTAGTATCATTTAAGTTTCGAGCTTTTGGTTATGTTAACACAATGTTAAAACTAGTTATGGAATCAAACATGGCTACAAAATGAGAGAGGAATCGTGTTAAGAAGAGGAATAATAGTATTACATATTTTTTATTCATGAATTTAGAAACAAGGGTTTAGACAAAAAAATGAACTTATTGTCTCAAAGTTTAAGAGAAGAAGCTTGCCTCCCTTGATAGGTAATACTCTTCATGAATGTATCAGCTCACCTTGGGACTGAAAGACCCATCTCTAGAGAAGTAAACAAAAAGAGAGATAAGGATTAGGGCAGAAACAGAAACTTGGTCTGTTATAACGAAGAAAGAAAGGCGGATGGTTTCCACTTAATAATTATATGGTAACAGTGAATCAGATGGAACAGCAAAACTAGTCAAGCAATGTCATCTCCTAAATGTAAATTATCACCAAGCATTGATGATGACAAGACCCACCTTTAAAAAACAACTGCAAATAGTCTCACGTGCCATCGATTCCATCTGGGACAAAGAGAGCACTTATACAAATTACTACAGTATTGTTTCCACGCTTATACACAGATCATGAACTTATTTTCCTACATTCGCACTCATATAATGAAAAAAACAAGAATGTCAATCTAAACGTTTGAAAAAGTCACTCTCTATGCTTTACTAAAACTTGTTTTCCAAATTTTTGATCTGGATTACTAGAACTCAAAAAAAGGTTCGTACTTGATAAAGGTGCAAGGATTCCACATGGTAACGGTGAAAATTATGTGCCTGCATGAATTAAGTACTGATAATTAGACAGACACAATGGCACTGAAGCTCACAACTAGTTGTTCAGAGTCAATCTTCCTACTTGTTAAAAGTCAAACATTAAATCTACCAACACTAGATTTTGCAACTATTTCCCCCAGCAAGACAAGAGTTAAGATAAACAAGGAATAAACATAAAAGAACTCATAGAGCTCTGTAAAACTTAACATAAACCAATCAAAAATTTCTTCTATAAGTATAATTCTTTCCTTACATCACTCTAATGTTGTCACATAAATCTATCAACACCAGATTTTGCTACTATTTCGATAAGCAAGACAAGTCATAAAGCCGAGAGATAATGTAAACAAAATATAAACATAAAACTAATCATAGAGCCTCGAAACACTTCACTAACCAATCAAAAAGTTCATCTATAAGTATGATCCTTTCCTCAACCTAATGTTCTCACATGTAATGATCTTAAGAAGCTATGATCTGTTTCAAAGTCTAACTATTAAAACCGAGTACTAAGGCAATGTAGTAATAGAAAATGTGGAAAGAATAAAGCTTTAAGGTCACATCAAACAAAGAATTCTACGCACAGAAATGCAAACTAAAAGGACACAAAGAAAGAAAGAAAGAAAGGATCAAAATATAGAAAGGGAAGCAACTCACAAGCAGAAAAAGTAGCAGAAAAGAGAGTATCAAAGGTCGGGAGAGGTGCAGCAGAGAGTACCCTGAGAGAGAGCTCGGCTGCTTCTTGATGTTACGCTTAGGCATGACGTCAGCCTCGCAGCCGCCACCGTGCTGTGTAGCGGTAAAAGCGACTGAACACATCCAAGCTCAGACGGACACCTACCACCCAATTTCCATCCCAAAACCAATTAAACCCTAAAAAACGAAAATTGGACGCACGATTCATGGAATTGATTTGATTATGAGCAGACCTGGAGAAGGAGAATCGTGGAGAAGCGGCGGGTTTAGACGGGATTCGAAATCCGGCGGAGGAAGCACTCGGTGGAGACCCGGTGCCGATTGGAGATTTGTGGAGCGAAGATCTGATGGCGGATCTCAGAGATCTGTTCATGAATCTATTGCAGGCAGAAGCCATTGTCAAATGATGAAGAAAGAAAGCCGGGAAATTGAGATTCGATTCGATCGTCGTCTTCTTCCTAACAGAGAGAATAATAGGGTTTAGGGTTTGGGAATTTATTAACATATATGGGCTTAAGCCCATTTACTTTATTTAAGGAAAAAGTTATGACGCTTTATGCAATCCGAACAATTAATCCGTACTAAATACGGCTCAAATTGTGAATTCAACTCAACTATAAAAAAAAAACTACCCAAATCAACTATACCATAAAATAAAGAGAAATATCTTAAGATAGCTATGTTTAGACTATTGCCACAAAAATAACCTTTAAAATAGAAAATGAAAAAAGAAATATTAAAATACTCCAATCTAAGAACATATTTTTTATTTTTCTTTGGCAATTATCTTTTATTATATAAAGCAGAAGTCAGTCGAGAATTCTCTGCTTGACATGTGTCTTTACAATATTTAAATTAATTGGTTTTTTCGACAGTTCTCTCTTAATTTTTCTCCAGTTAACTTTATTTTTTGAACATTTTTATAATAAAAACAAATCAACAATTACCACTACTCCTAAATTGACTCCCCACTTCTACCACTCACCCTCTTCATCCATCTAACGATTGCCCTTTATCCATCTAACGATTGCCCTTTATATAAATTCTCCAAAGAAAAAAATCCTTTGTCATCATTTTTTTATTAGAAGAGGTAACTTTTTTTTTCTTTGTTCGTTTTATGGATTTGAACATAACCATTATTCATCTATTGTTTTCTCAATTTTTCTTCCTGGTTTATCATTAAAACGTAGAAGAAGAACTTGAGGTCGAAACCAGTAAACAAGTTTGTACAAACATCGACTCATAAAAATAAGAGAAAGTATATTCTGAAACATATTGCTCTTAATTATTAATGATAACATTATGTGTTAAGATAATCAGAATGCCAACACTAGAGGTGTAAGTTCTGATAAGTTCTCAAGAATTTGTCAAGAATTATGTAGTTTTTCTTTTGTCGGCAAGAATTATGTAGTTTTTCTTTTGTCGGCAGAATTATGTAGTTTAATAACTGGACGTGTTACTCCTTTTTTTGTATTTTTGCCTTTCGACTATTAGGTTAGTGTACATAGAACTTAAAAATTATTGTTCAAGTGAACTAATAAGTTAAGAATAGTGTGTATACTTCTGAACCTATTTTGTTCATTAAATCTGCAATAAGAAAACCATATATAAACAGAATATTGAAATAAAACTATAGTGTTCAATCCGTTTAGAGAAAAAAATCTATATATTTCAATAGTGTTCATAGAACTGTGATGATAATATTTATAATGTTCTACTACATTAAACCAACATACTTTTAAATCAATTGGCTGATGTTTATTACTTTCTGAAATTTTCATTGTATTGTTTATTATTTATTAACAAAATATTTTGTTTTAAAAAAAAATATATCTATATTGATGTTTTACTTCTGAATCGTATATTTTTTTGGATCCATTATTTTCTGAAAAATGAAAGAAAATCGTTAATATAGTTGTCTATTTTATTTGGATAATGTTAATCATTTTTAATATACTTTGGTTTGCCTAAACCAAATAACACATTATGCTAACTCTATTTCCCGATGCATGGCATCGAACATAATATTAGTATATTTATAAAACAATGGATAGAAAAATCTTTTGTCTTTTTAATAAAATTTATTTTGATCATTTTCTCCTATGGAATTTTTTTTGTGACAAAAACTTTTTAAAAAAAATTATTTTAAAAAATTGTCATAAATTAATTAATGTTAATTCGATTGGCTAAACATATGACATGACACTAATAATCAATTTAGTATCTAGTTATAATCGAATTGGAGTCGTATTAGCACATATCACTTATTCGGCTACGATAAAAAATTGTTTGAATCGAAATATGCTATTTTCCTCGCCTGAAGATCATTAGGTTTTGCATAATGTTATTCATCCATTAAACCTTTCTACTGAATACTATTTGATTAGTCACCTTTCAACTTCGTCTAATTATCGAATATTCGGATTAAACAAACTATAAACACAAAGAAAGACAATCTTGCCATCATCTTGGAGGACCTTTCAGGCTTTTATAATTCAAAATATTTTATTGAAGCTAACAAAATTAACCTTCATCTAATCATGTAAAGTTATATGTCTGCAATATTCTGTCATATTAGTTTTGTGAGTAAAATATACTAAAAGTCATTCAAACTCAACTCTTGGTTTCTATTTTTAATATATAAACTGACCAATTCCAATAAACACAACAAAGGTGTTGGTTAATTGACTTATAAGTTATAATCCCTACTAATACATTAGCATATATCCTCTAACTGATCTAATCCAGTATGAAATATTAAACAACAAATAGTACATACAATAAGACCATGATTATCATTATTGGTGTGACACAACATTTATTTATAAACCGAATATTGAAATGCCAACAGAAGATTCTTATCCTAACACTATTAAATCCCACTATAGTTGTCTAATCATGTTTAATATTTGCGAACCTTCAGTTAATTAAATAAGAGGCGGTTTGGGCGGCATGCAATAATGCAGCCACGTAAGACACCCATTGTCATTGTTGCTATTTGCTATATAATCTAAAGCATATACAAGCCCGAAGAACAAAAAAAAAAGAGAGCTAATAAACCAAAGTCTTCAAGTAAAAAAAAACATGGTGAAGATCGAAGTTGGAAGTGTCGGTGACTCATTCAGTGTTGCATCTCTAAAGGCTTACTTGTCTGAGTTTATAGCGACTCTTATCTTTGTATTCGCTGGCGTTGGCTCAGCTATTGCTTTTGGTAAACTGACTTCCGATGCCGCCTTGGATCCAGCTGGTCTTGTGGCTATTGCGGTGGCTCACGCGTTTGCCTTGTTTGTTGGTGTTTCCATTGCTGCTAACATCTCTGGTGGCCACCTTAACCCTGCGGTGACTCTCGGGCTTGCCGTTGGTGGAAACATAACACTGATCACTGGTTTCTTATACTGGATCGCTCAGTGTCTTGGGTCCATCGTTGCTTGCCTACTCCTTGTCTATGTTACCAACGGCGAGGTACGTTACTTACTACTAGCGTTGAACTGGTTACTTCTGTTTCCTGGTTCGCTTCGGTTACGATCACTTTTAGGTTACAACTTGATAGGATCGATGCTCATATTTGTTGTCGGTTTGGTTCGAATTTCTTGTCCGCTTTAATTAGGTAGAGTACGACCCAAAAGATGTATTGTTTGTTTTTGGTTCGCTTCGGTTTGAATAGTAAAATCATGTTTTTAGGTTAGAATTATTATTTTTTTTTGCAGAAAATGGACAATCTTTTATTTAGTATAAAGATAAATAACTAATTAGTTTCGCAAATGATTTATATAGTTAAAAGTGTGACTATCAAATTATTTAGCTAAGATCATACGAAGTTTGTCAGCTCAGTAAGAAAAACACGATACCAAACAAGTTTAAACTAATTCGGTATGGAATATAATGGTTAACTTTGGTTTGTTAAGCTATAGTCATAACTCGTACGTAGAGTATTAATTCTCTCGAAAATATTATTACGTACCTTGCTAGCCGGTTTACAAATGAGTGCTTTCACTGGTTTGCTACAGAGCGTACCAACCCACGGAGTCGGAGCCGGTTTAGGAGCACTCGAAGGTATCGTGATGGAGATCGTTGTAACGTTTGCTTTGGTATACACTGTTTACGCCACAGCTGCTGATCCAAAGAAGGGATCGCTCGGAACCATCGCTCCAATCGCTATCGGTTTCATTGTTGGTGCCAACATCCTCGCTGCTGGTCCTTTCAGCGGTGGCTCCATGAACCCAGCAAGGTCGTTCGGACCAGCTGTTGTCAGTGGAGACTTGTCACAAATCTGGATCTACTGGGTGGGTCCACTCGTTGGTGGTGCACTTGCTGGACTCATCTACGGCGACGTGTTCATCGGTTCTTACCAAGAGGTTGAAACCCGTGAGAACCGAGTTTTATTAACTTGATTTGTGATTCCTTGATGTGTGCTTTGTTGGGTGGTTTGATGCTGTGTTCGATTGCGTATGATTGATGTCACTGCCTACGTTTCTTCCAAGATTGTAAGCAGAGAAAAAGTTATCTTGTTAATATAGACTTTCACTTTATATTGTGATGTCAAAACTGAATTAGCTAAACAATTCATCATCATTACTCTTGGAGAAATTAGGTTCACTCCCTAGGATAAAAATCTATGATACCAACCAATAAGATTTAGTTATTATTGATTCCACATCTTTTAAAAAAAAACTAAATAATAAAAATTACGTGAAATTATATTATGCTTTTAAAATAAATAAAATAGTAGTATTGACCAAAAATGTTTTTTTGATATATTTAAATCGGTTAGCAAAATACTAAACTCTAGATCTAAAATTCTAAACCCAAAACTTTAAATTCTAAATCCTAAATCTTAAATTATAAACCCTAAACCTTAAATTCTAAACAATAAACCATAAATTCTAAACACTAAATCCTAAACACTAGGACAAATCCTAAACCATTAATCCTAAACCCTAAACCCTTATTCCTAAGCTCTAATACTAAACCCTAAATCATAAATTCTAAACAATAAACCCTAAACACTAAACCCTAAATTCTAAACCCTAAATCCTAAATTCTAAACCCTAAATCCTAAATTCTAAACACTAAACCCTAAATACTAAACCCTAAACCATGAACCCTTGGGCAAATCCTAAACCCTAAACCTTTAATCTTAAAATCTAAGCCATTAATCCTAAACTCTAAGGGATTTGCCACTAAACCCTTAATCCTAAACCCTAAACTTTTATTCCTAAACCTAAACCCTTAGGGTTTAGGATTAAGGGTTTAGAATTTTCCCTAGGGTTTATGGTTTATGGTTAGTGTTAAGAATTTTGGGTTTAGTGTTTAGAATTCAGGGTTTAGTATTAGAGTTTAGTATTAGGGTTTGGATTTAGGAGTAATGGTTTAGGATTGAGAATTTGCCCTAGCTTTTATGGTTTAGGGTTTAGTGTTTAGAATTTAGGGTTTCAGGTTTAAAATTTAGGGTTTAGAGTTT